AGAATTACAATTAGCAACATTACGATAATTAAAACAACAATCACGAGCACAAGTACAATAATCATCACGATTAGCACAACCACGAGCAGGAGGAGGAGCAGGAGCGCAAACACCAGGAGTACCAGGAGGACCAGCAGGACCACGTGGACCACGTTCACCAGGAGCACCAGGACGACCAGGTGGACCAGCAGGACCAGGAGCACCATCGTTACCAGCAGGACCACCTGGACCAGCAGGACCAGCTGGACCAGCAGGACCAGTAGCACCATCATTACCAGCAGGACCAGTTGGACCAGCTGGACCAGCAGGACCAGCAGGACCAGGTTCACCAACACCAGCAGGACCAGTAGGACCAGTTGGACCAGCAGGACCAGCAGGACCAGTTTCACCAGCAGGACCAGCTGGACCAGCAGGACCAGCACCACCATCATCACCATTAGCACCAGCTGGACCAGTAGGACCAGCTGGACCAGCAGGACCAATAGCACCATCGTTACCAGCAGGACCAGTTGGACCAGCTGGACCAGCAGGACCAGCAGGACCAGTTTCACCAACACCAGCAGGACCAGCAGGACCAGTTGGACCAGCAGGACCATCAGGACCAGCGGGACCAACAGGACCAGCAGGACCAGCTGGACCAGCAGGACCAGCACCACCATCATTACCATTAGCACCAGCTGGACCAGTAGGACCAGTTGGACCAGCAGGACCAGGACCACCATCGTTACCAGCAGGACCAGTAGGACCAGCAGGACCAGCAGGACCATCATTACCAGCAGGACCAGCAGGACCAGCTGGACCAGCAGGACCACGACCACCATCTTTACCAGGACGACCATTAGGACCAGGAGGACCACGAGGACCAGGTGGACCACAAGGACCAGCAGGACCACATTTACCAGGAAGACCAGGTGGACAATGACAAGGAGAAGATAGACCAGCTCTAGCCTGTGGTATGTTGATTATTGCGGCGAACGCGCAAAGGATGAACATGGAAATCATTTGCCTTTGTTTCTGCATTGTCTGTTGTTACTTCTTGAGTCGAAGGTGACAATGGTAGATGGAAATGAGTAAGTATATAAATGCTTTTTCGTGCAGTGGTGTTGTTGCTTAATTATCGGATGATTGGAATGAAGTGATGTGAATATCGATGCGCTTATGATTTTATACGTAGCAATGAGGGGGTGGGAATTCCCCACTATTATTGGGAATTTTTTATCCTCAGGTGAAAGTGTTCTACCGATCAGCGTGAATTTCCCATTTTCATTGGGAATCCCCCATCTACTAGCGAAAATTTCCCACTTATCGTGGGAATTTTTTGACAATTAGGTCAGCTATTGATGATACTACGTGACCGCGGCCATTTTGACGATATATTCAATAGATATTTGTATTTGGCTAAACATGAAATGATTGAATCTTGCTTTTGAGCAGTCGGTTCACATAAAGGATAACAAAGGACTTCAGTAGTATCAAGAAGTGGTTTGTAGATGCAATAAAAAATATTCAAACCATTTTTTCCGACTCTTTATTCTCAGCAATTATCTTTGTGTCGATGTGGTAATCGAAGATAGCACCCATCAAATCATCGACGATTGTGGCAGCAACAGAGGCACTTCTCAAATCTTTTGCTTTTTTTGATTTGATATGTACATTTGTGTCAGCATCATCTGAAAACAGTCTTGTCGAACTTCATGATCTGACCAGGACTCTCCTGATTTTGATGTTATTCTCCTAATTAAAGTTTTTCCCAGATTCAGGAGCTGATGTTTAAAACTTCCACCTGATTTCTTCTGGCTTTTTAAACAATTTTCTTTATCTGTTTCACGAAGCTCTATACTATGAAATTGGTCGAAGAATACGACAAAATCAATGATGAATAGGAAAAAGGGCTACTACTACGTAGAAGAGCAAATCACAACCAGTTTCATCCTTGCTCAAGGGAATTCTCAGATGATTTAAGACATTTTAATTGGATTGTAATTAGGAATCCAATTAAAACATCATCTACACTGTTGTGTAAGAAGCAATTTTTTGACAACGTGTAGTGGATGTTGGAGTAAATATATGACTAAAATGTACGCCGTACCACGCCAATAGTTATTTCTGCCTTGGTGGGACTTCATCAAGTGGTATCTTAAGAGTGCGCTCATGAAGAGCGCCAGAAATAGAGGCACTGGTGAAAATTTAGATTTTTTATTTTTATGTGCATTTGAAAGACCATAGTCTAAAATCATGAAACCTAAATTTTTAGCTCATTTGGATATATTCTAGTATAGTTAGCCAATATCGGCTTTAGAGTACTACCAATGGATTATCGAAACAATAGGTGCTAGGGCAATTTATCGCCGGACTATTCGTTGCGGATGTTTCGTCATAGACAATTCGTCGCATGGAGAATTAGTCGCAGGGCAATTCTTTGTAGGTATTTCGTCGCACGGACAATTCGGCGCAGAACATTTCATCGCGAACGTTTCGTCGCGGACTATTCGTCGCACGGACAACTCGGCGCAGACATTTCGTGGCATGGACAATTAGTCGCGGACGTTTCGTCGCCCTACTGTTCATCGCACGGACAATTCGTCGCGGATATTTAGTCGCATGGAGAATTCGACGCAGAACAATTCGTTGTAGGCATTTCGTCGCACGGACAATTGGCCGCCAGATAATTCATCGCGGACGTTGCGTCGGACGGACTAGTCGGCGCAGGACAATTCGCCGCAGACATTCCATCGCATGGAGAATTCGACGCAGGATAATTCGTCACAGATATTTTGTCGCATGGGCAATTAGTGGCAGAACAATTCGTCGCAAGACTATAGTTCAATTATATCGTATAATTGAATTATAGTCTTGCGAGAAAATGCCCGCAACAAATTGTTCTTTGATGAATTATCCGTCCGATGAACTGTCCGGTCACCGAAAAAATAATCAAAAATTGTAGCACAAATGTTTATTAGGATTATGCCTTAACAAGACAAAGAATTTTTTCGTGGAATATACTAAAAGATAGACTATCAATCGCTGAAAAAAAATGAGCTATTTGAATTATTATATATCATCTATTTACTGAGATCCACATTGAAAAAGTTCCAGAATTGATTTTATATAAATACAGCAATTAGCGCTGTTACGCTTCAATTCATTGTTGTCTGTAGTTCATAAAGTGCTCTATCCAATGGTATAAAAAAACTCGTATTGATTGAAGTCTTTGAGTGCTTCAGCTGGAAACGTTTTGCCTCACATTAAAAGCACTGATAGACAGTAGAATATTTGAGCATAGTTCACCTATGGGAAAAATTTCGTTACTTTTAAATGCTGCGAAACACATTAATGCAGACCGGTTTAACGCGTTTCACAGCTGCTAAACCGGTTAAAAACGCCGCGAGACGATATACTTTTCGTTTTCATCCGAGAATTGTGGCTTCAAAACGCGTTTTGAGTAAGTGGAAAATAGGATTGTATACGTTTCTCATCATGGGAAACGCTGTGAACGCGTTAAATCGGGCAGCATTAACGCGTTTCGCAGTGAATATATCCAAATTTTCTATCCCATGGGCAATGACAGTCCTTCTTGAATACGAAAATCAATCACTATTTAATGTCTCTAAACTTCTGATAACAGTTCATGATAATCTGGAACATTCGTATCGTGAACTACCATTCTGAGTGTCTAAGTATTGAATAGCGACCGATTTTTACATTCAAGAAAGCCTCTTACTGAACTTTGCACAAATACTCTATTGTCTATCAGTGCTTTCAATATGATGCAAAAAGTTTCTGATTGAAGCACTCAAATGCTTCAATCAATAAGAGTTTTTTTATGCTATTGGATAGAGTACTTTATGAATTACAAGCAACAATGAATTAAAACACAACAGTCCCTGTTTCCGTTTTTAAATAAAATGAGTTCGAGAAGTTTTTGAACGTGGATTTATAGTCTAACTTGTATGAGGAGGATCACAATTTACGAGTCCAGAATAGTCAATGTTTGACAGTATACCTGCCGTCGTTTTTTGAAATCAAAAGATGCCAAGCTGATTTTGATATATGTTAATGTAACTTTTCATT